AAGCCTCAAGAAGAAGTCTGTCATGCCTTGGACAGCCCGTGTGAGCCCAAGCTGGAGCCAAAAAAGAGCAGAGGAGCCCGAAGCGCGTGGCTTCCTCCAGGGACCAAGCCCTGCCAGGAAACCCCAGGTGGTTGCTTGCGAGACAAGCTGGAGGAGCAACGGAGAAGACAGTAGAAAGCAGGCCTAGGCCAACTGTATCTCACTCTGAGTGTCCTCCAGGCCACGGGGACTCCTGACTATTCGTCTTATGCCTCTCTTGAAGACTGTCATCTAAATCTCCTCTCCGTAACATAGGTGTGCTCCTCTGGCCCTTCCGCCTCAGCCCCGGGTAGCTGGGACTACAGGCATGCGCCACCATGCCGAGCTAATTTTTTCTATATATATTAGTTGGCCAATTAATTTCTTTCTATTTATAGTAGAGACTGGGTCTCGCTCTTGCTCAGGCTGGTTTCGAACTCCTGACTTTGAGCTACCCGCCCGCCTTGGCCTCCCAGAGTGCTAGGATTACAGGCGTGAGCCACCTCGCCCGGCCCGGCTAATTTTTTTAATGTATATACTTTTAGTTGTCCAGGTAATTTCTTTCTATTTTTTTAGTAGAGACAGGGTATTGCTTTTGCTCAGGCTGGTCTTGAACTCCTGAGCTCAAACTATCTTATCTGCCACTAGGATTACATATATATATATATATATTTTTTTTTTAGTTGTCCAGCTAATTTATTTCTATTTTTTAGTAGAGATTGAGTCTCAATCATGCTAAGGCTGGTCTTGAACTCCTGGCCTTGAGCAATCCTCCCGCTGTGCCTCCCAGAGTGTTAAGATTACAGGATTGAGCCACCACGCCTGGCCAGAGTTTCCCTATGTTGCTTAGGCTGATCTCTAACTCCTGGCCTCAAGCAATCCCTCTGTCTCAGCCTCTTGAAGTGCTAAGATTACAGGTGTGAGCCACAGTGCCTAGCCTTATTATCTTATTTTAATTTTAAAAAATAAAATTGTTTTTTGAAACAAAGTCTTGCTCTGTCACCTGGCTAGAGTGCAGTGGCATCATCATAGCTCACTGCAACCTCAAACTCCTGGACTCAGTGATCCTCCTACCTCAGCCTCCTGAGTAGCTGGGACTACAGGTGTGTGCCACCACATCCAGCTAATTTTTTCTATTTTTAGGAAAGACAGGGTCTCAATATTGCTCAGGATGGTCGTGCACGCCTGACCTCAAGTGATTCTCTAGCCTCAGCCCCACAAAGTGCTAGGATTATAGGCATGAGCCACTGCACCCAGCCTAATTTAAATATTTTTGACTCTGAAATTTTTCTTTTATTTAACTTTATGGTCATATTCATAGGAATTTTATGGGAAAATAATCACAAAATAGAGGATAGACTAGATTTTTATGTGAGTTTATTTTTAGCCTCAAAGTATTTAAACTGTTCTTACACATCAAACATTTTTCTATACCTCCCCAAGTGAAGGGTTAGCCTTTATTCGAAGATGTTTTTTTCCTAGGTAGCTTTATTACTTCAGGCATTTACTTAATATTATAACTGTTGGTTCTTCACAAGGCAAAGGACGTTTTTATGGTCATAGTGTCTTTTTCCCCACCCCTGAGGCTTTCATATGCTTTTACTTGTAAAGGAGAACACAGATGGATTAAGGCAAACATGGATAGAATATCTGAATTTATATTCTAAACACATACTTTATTTCTCATCTCAATTTTCTCAAGTATTCACTAGAATTAAGAATAATTAATTTTTTATACTAGTCCATTTCAGTTTAACATAATTTGAGGGTCTTCCCCATATGTGATAATTTTACTTAGTGATACTTGAGGATGTTTTAATCAGAAATAACTTACTTGCCATTGTGTTGAATTTTAATTTTTTTTTTTTTTGAGACAGGGTCTTCCTGTGTTGCCCAGGCTGTATTTGATATGCTGGGCTCACACAGTCCTCCTGCCTCAGCCTCCTGAGTAGCTGGGACTACAAGCGTGCACTACCATGCCTGGTTTTACTCTCCATTTTAACCAAAGCATCGTTGTTTTTTGTTTTTTGTTTTTTTTTGCCCCAAAAGGGGGGCAATTTGTTTCCCCCCACCCCAATTTCGGCCCCAAAGCTTAAAAATTTTTTTTTTTCTCTTTATATTTTAATTTTTTTTAGTTTGGGGGGCCAAAATTAATTTTTATTTTTTCTATTTTTTATTTAGGTAAAAAAAGGGGGGGAAAAAAAGGGGGGGGACCCATGGATCTTCCCCCAAACCCCTTTTCTTGGGCTTCCCAGGCCTTTGTTTTCCAAACCTTTCCCCTTTTGGGACCTTGAAAAAAAAAATTTTGAATCCCACAACCCCCAAACCCCTTTTCAAAAGGGCCTTCCCCAAAGGGGGAGTTTTGCTTTTTTTTAAAGGGGGGGGGGGGAATTTTACAAAAGGGCGTTTAAAGGCCCCCCCCCCACCCCCATTTTTGCCCCGGGGCCCTTCTTTTCTTTCTGGTTTCTTGGGGGAAATTTTTCCAATTTTGCCATTTTTTGCCCTCGGATTTTTCCCCCAAAAAAACCCTAAAAAAAGGTATTTTTCTTCCTTTTCCCAACTTTTTTTTTTTTTTGGCCCCCAGGGGGGGGGAAATTTTAATTTCCCTTTTGGGGGGGCTAAAAAAACTTCCCTTTTTTTTCTTCCAATTTTTTCCCAGAAAAGGGTTTCTTTTTTAAACTTCCCCTCAAGGGAAAGTTTTTTTTTTCCGCCCTCTGGGAAAAAACCCTTCTTTTTTAAACCTTTGGGGGAAGGGGCAAAAGTCCTCCCTTTTTACCCTTTCTCCCCCCCAAGTCCGTTGGGAAGTTAATTGTTGTGTGGAAAAAGGGGAAAAGAAAAAAAAAAAAGGGGGGGTTTTCTGGGGTTTTTTTTACAATTTGGGGGGGACCTTTTTCAAAGGGGTTTTTAACCCAAGCAAAATCCCCTCCCCTAGGGGAAGGAAAAAAAAATTTTTTTGGGCAAGGTTTTCTTTTCTTCTTTCTTAAAAATTTTACTAAACATTTTTTAATTTTAAAATTTAAGTGTTTTGCTTTAAAAGGGTTCCCCATGGTTATTTTTGTTTTTTCTTGTTTTTGGTTTTTTTGTTTTTTTTTTTTTAAAAAATTGTTTTATTGGCCCCCAAAAAAAAAAAAGTCACCAAATTTACAAAAAGGCTTTTTCTAAAGTTAAAGGTTTAAGAAAGGGGCCAAAAAAAAGGCGGGGAAATTTTTTTAAAAAAAAAGTTTTTTTTTCAAGGGGGCATTTTTTTCTGGGGGGACCCGGGCCTCCGTTTTTTTTTGGGCTTTCACGGGGGGCCCTTTTTTAAAAATTTCCTAGGCCCACCTTCTTGGGGGGGATTTTTTTTTTGGGCCTTTGGGAGGTTTTGGGCGGAATTCCAAAAATTTTTGGGAAAAAAAGCCCCCCTTTCTTTTTCATGGGGGGAAGTTTTCAAAGACCAAAAGGCCTTTTTTTAAAGCAAAAGAAGCGGGGAAGGACCCCCTTTTATTTTTTCTTCTTACTTAAAAAAAAATTAAGAAAAGTGTGGAAAATTTAAAAAATTTGGGCCCAAAAACTTTAAAAAAAAAAAATAAACTATTAAACAAAAAAAAAAAAAAAAAAAAAAAAAAAAAAAAAAAAATTTAAAAAAAAAGCTGGGGGGGGCCAATTGGAGTCGGGGTTAAACCATTTGGGGGGCCCTTTTTGTTTAAAGTGGTTTTTCCCAAAGCCCTGGGGTGGGCGCCAAAAAAAGGGGGGGGGGAGGAATTTTGAAAGGCAAAAGGGGAGGATTCCGGCTTTTTGGAAAAAAAAAAAAAAGGCCCCCAGGCGGGGAGTTTTTTGAGGGTTTTTTTTGCCTGTTTTTTTTGAAGGGCTTAAAAAGGCTTGGGGATTTGGGGGCCAACAAAAAACCCCACCTCCTAACCCCCCCAGGGCAAAAAAAACAAAAAAAAAAAAAACCAAGGAAAAAGGGGGTTTTGGAAAGGACTTTCTTTTGTCTGAGA